GATAAGGAGTTAAGCTATCTATGATGTTTTCCTATATCAAGTTATGTAGGCCAATTTTATAGGTATTGGTCTAAATCATATAAGACTTATTTTCATGAATCAGTCATATCAAGTCATTTAGGATGGGTGACCTTCATATCTGAAGTTCTCACTTATTGTCCATTGTTATATCATATTATATCAATATGTATTCTTATGTCTCTCTTTTTATATCATTTAGGATTATACTATAAAATTTATTTTAAAGAAAAGCCCATTGGCTCACCTTTATTTATAGCTAGAATAATATATCTCAAGTTAACTTAAATATGTCAATCATTTCTTGTCAGCCTTTCTTACATACACACATTCCATGACATATATAATATAATAAAGAAGCAATATTGTGCTAAATGTTCAACTCATTACACCAATCTAGTGTATTTGAAATACATATATGAATCAGAACTACTACATTCATAAGAAAAAAATAGTATACTCATTTTCACATATATATGACCACAATAGATGAATTAAAGCAAGTATGCATGTCATATATTACTATTATAAAATTTTAATAATTATTTATCAAAATTTCATATTTATTTAAATTTATCAAATTAGGGCAATTTTTCCAAAATATAAAATTACCGAGTAAAAATTCAACATATCCCTCTCAATATACGCAAAATGATTTAAACTACAACATATTAAAAATTATATGGTGTAAGTTTTTTAAAATTTAAGATACCATAACTTTAGCAAGTTTTAACTAAATTAAAATAAAAAAATATAAAATAAGTAAAATTACTAAAATTAGAGCTAGGGAATGATAGTTTATCTTTAGATAAGCAAATTTCTCAACTAATTCAACCAACAAAAATGTCTCTGCCCAAAACTGGCTTTCTCTCTCCTCTTCACTCACTTTTCCTCTCTAATGCCCTATTCTCTTTCTCTTTTAAATGAAATGAGATGAAACATGACATAAAAAAGTTCTTTTGGGTAAAGATATTTTATAATAAACTATCTTAAGGACGCATTTGTAATTATGCTCATTATTTAGTTTTTAGCATAAATTCTTTATAAATCTTTTTATATCTTCAAATATGGAGCTCTAAAATTATAAAAAGAAAATTTCAAAAAATATCCCAACATGTCTAAAAGACTCTGGTGAAATTGGTTTGCAAAACAAACCCCTAATGAACCCAAAAAAACTCATTTGTACCGATATGTATAAATTTCTTAAGGAATTACAATTAAATAAAAAACTTATTATTTTGAAATATACATTGCCCATAAAATTAAGAGAAAATTATTATAATTAAACTACAATAACATATATATTATGATGAAATTAGTTTGCAAATTAGAGTTATAATGACTCCTTAAATATTATTTAACTAGGTCAAAATATTGGATATTACACAAAATAGGTGAAAATGGATTTGAATGAAATATGATTATGTTGCTAACATCTTAATATAAAATTAAATTCAATAGCTTTATTTAGTTTTGCCAATTAGTTAGGTTAAACACTTTGGGAATTTTATCAATGCTTGATGAAGTTAAAATAAAGATTATCATTATGCCTTTTCTACTAATGCTTATAATATATGCATGCCATGTCATGAATTGCATCATATGCTTTTCATGTGAAACCTATAGGAGAAGATGCAATGGTGCTATTGTATTTACATATGCGCCTTTATTCTTAATATTTTAGTTAAAATACTACACATGTAAAACTACATGATAAAATTTTATTATGATCATACTAAAATGTTCATACTTATATATATTATCTATTGTATATCAAAAGTCACATGGTGAAAGTTCACTAAATCATAATTATGTTATCTATCATATATCAAAAGTCACGTTATGAAAATTCTCTAAATCAAGAGATAATATATTTTAACCAGATTGAAAACATAAATAGGATTTGGTTTACCCACCACGATCAGCGTAAGTTTATTAACTGAGAGAATGGATGAAAATGGCCCAGAGATGATCTTCTCCCTCTTCCTCTCCCTCTTCTCTCCTCTCTTTTTCCTTACCAAGCAACCCAAGAATAGGGGTTTATGGACTGGGCTTAGGTACTTATGAGGATGAGTGGATTTTGATATTTTAAAAAGAGTATGACTAAGAAGATAGGTAGTATAGTCAAAAAAATATGACTACACTATGAAGAGATTAGATAAAAAGAGCATGATCAAACTAAGGGGAATGAAAGCACAATCAAGAGCACATGATTGTACTAAGGATAAAACTAGTTAAAAGAAAATGGCCAAGTTAAAAAAAAAGTTTAGGAGAAAGGTCAAACTATCAAGTCAAGTCAATTTAAGATCGCAATGATAAATGCATGCTAATGATATAGAAAAAGGTACACTAGAACGGTTGCTAGATATATTTTTAATAAGTTTTATAATAATCAATGTGTCCTAAACCTAGGGAGAGCTAAGGCAAATTATCCCAAAATATAGTGTTAGCCATCCAAAATAGTGTAGTCCTCTATTAGTCTGCCCAATAATAATGGCAAGCTAAATAGTATAGTAAGAAAGTACAATTTATGGTTTCACCCATATCAATAAAGTATGAGAATGCAAATGAATAAGGAACACTTGATGCTAAAGAACTGGTTAACCCTTTTTAATCTTAAGTTAAACCAGACATCATATAAGTGTGTGTATAATATTCTACAAAGATTTTTTTTTTCATGAGCATTATGTACTAAACCAAATGAAATTTGGTTTTGAACATTTTAAATGTTTTAAAATAACTTTAGGATTTTATTTAAAATTATTAAAATAATTAAAAATGATATTGAAATTTGAAAATTGGAGCATTAAAATTAAGTTTCAAAATATGTCATGCTCAAGAGCACAGTCAAAGCCAATTTCAAATTCAAGCACTACTACCCTTATTTAAAAATATAATTAGGGGAAATAGGAAGGAGTTAGGAAAACTTGTAAAAATTAGTTAATATATGATCAAATAGGGTTGGCTAAGCTTCCAATTATCTTTAATTAAGTTAGAATATGGTTTTAAATGTTAAAGGTACTTTAAGATTTACTTAATTTTTTATAATTATCACCAAGGAAAAAATCTTGAAAAATACAAAATCATACAAACTACTAGTAAAAAATCAGCCCAATCAATGTTATTTGCAATATGCATCTTTATGGTTGTGTGGTGAACAATACCCTATTAGTGATTTAGTTGAGATTTATTGGATCAATGAGTTTTTCTTTTTATTGGATCAACGAGTTGACCAAGATCTAAGTTAGTTTTTAGGTTAAGAGGGAGGACAAGCATGTCACCAACATTCAAGCCTGGCCAAAGGCTTTTGGTTGTTTATTGGAACTTATTGAGGAAATGGAAAGTGATTGGAGATGTTAGGGTAAGCTACTTAAATTAATCTTCCTTATTTGAGTACTAAATCATAGTAAACCATATTTAATCCACTTCTCTTAGTGCGTCATGTTCTCTTTCATGCATATTAGAGAGTTGAGATAATGCCATGCTACTTTTTGAAAATGATTGGTATAAAATTTAAAGACTATAGTTTGTAGCATGCTATCATCCACTTGTATTTAGTTCAATCATGATTTAAACCTAGCTTATCTTCAATTAATAACTTAACTATAAATTAAACTTGTTGTAGAGGCTTTATGTTAGAATGTTGCTTGGTAAATGGAATCAGATTGCCATAGAGCCTTGATCTCTAAGGATGATTTGACTCAATCTAAGCCATAGTGGTTGAAATGGGCGATGTTGACCCATTTAGCCAAACTGGGTCACATCATGGATTGGGTTCGGTTTGCTCAAGTTAAAAAAAATTCATAACATCCTAGTCAAAATTAATGGGCAATGATTCAAGCTAGTTTTGTGAATGGAATGTGTTAAACCCATTTATAGTATTATTTTGTTTCAAATAGATCAAATTAACCTATTTAATCAAATTTGGTCAAACCTCCATGGTCCAAATGGGTTAGCAATGCTTGGGTCATGCATATAGCAACCTAAGGAAGATTCATATCCATTTAATGGAGACAATTTGTGTTAAATGCGAACTTGGTCAAATTGCCCCATTTGGATTCAAATGGATCAAGTTGGGTCAATTGGACATAACTAGTCCAGTCATTGGGTCAATTAGCTAGCTAAGGATGTTATATACTTGGCACATCCTAAGGTTAGCTTATTGTTTGAATTGGTTAGCCAATTTGATGCCAAAGATGATTCGGTCAAATTGAATCTTTAAAGGTTCAATTCCTTTAACATTGGTTTAAGTGAACTAATTGGTCAACTTATGATTGGACCTAAGAACTCTAGCTAATCTCTAAACATCCTTGTGAGCTCTTTGGCACATTGGCTAAGTTAATTGAGTGTCCTAAGTCCATTTTGGTTAAGGATATTTAAATGGGCTATAAGTTGAGAATAATAATGTATTGGAGAAGATGCATCAAGGGTTAAAATAAAGTATTTATAGACCATGCTTGCAAGCATATTGAGTGCAAGCAACAAGGGTTCTTCTTCGAATTCTCAAATTCATTGCATAATTCTAACCACGTTGTCACTTAGATGTAACTCTGATGACCTCATGAAATCTGAGTGTTAAAATTACCGCATAATAATATAAAATAGTATGTTAAAAAAATTAAAAAAGAGAGCAAAAAATAATACAACCTAATAAATAAATATACAATAATAACAACAACATCAAGCCTTTATCCCACTACGTGGGGTTGAGTACATGAATCTTTTTAATAAATAAATATATAATATATTTATAATAAAAATAATAATAAACTGTATTTCAAAAAATTAATTAAATAATATAAGACCTATCATCAAATCTAATATTAAATCATTAACAAATTATTTGTTAAAAAAAAATTATTTTAAAATCAAAATAAATAACTCATACTACCTTCAAACATATAAAAAAATATTCAAATTTATTCAGTTATTAATCAAGTCAAATTTAAACCACTCATCGAATGAATTGATTCCAAAGTTTTTAAATACCTCTTCAAGAGAACTCCACATGATTAAAAAACAAACTAAGGGAAATAATTTAAAATTGTATTTATATCAAAATAGCCCCCCATTGGTTTCCGATCTCCCCCAACAAAATAAAAAAAAGCAGAAATATGCCGATTAGATCCAGATCTACCCTACCATCACGATCACGCCATTCAAAATAACCAGCAGAGAGTAGCAATAGCCACCGCAAGTCCACCACCGACTGCGCCGCGCAACCGCGGCGACGCGGAAGAACCCCCCTCCGGCATCGGGCCAAACACCAGCGGGTACGCCGCCGGTCCACCAGCCGCCGCCGCTGCCGGAGCACCGGCTGGCTGGAAGAATGCCCCATTTGCGTCCGGAACCGCGATCTGCAGCTTCTGTCGCTTCTCACAATGGTCGGCAACGCCGCTGGTGAAATAGAACGTTCCCGGTGAGGTGAACTTAAAAATCGAGTTCCCATCCTCCATCTTCAAGATCGGGTCCGTCACTATGCAGACATTGAAGGCCTTCTCCGTGACCTGAACCACCGAATCCTGACTCGGCGGGTAGAGGAAATCTGCAATGAAGCAGAGAATGGTAACTACGTAGATCTGGGTAATCAGAAGCTGGTGAAGGGGGATTGTAGACTTACAGAGAGAATCGTTGATGTGAAAGTGATGATTGAGAACCCAGGAGGCGTAGAGGTTGGGGAGGGAGGGAGGGGGTACGCCCCAGGAATCGAGGTCGCCGACTTTGTATTGGAAGGAGATGACGGACTTGAATGTGACAAGTAGAGTGATCGCAGCCGTTAACAGTCGCCGGCGGCGATAATCCCCGGCGAGAAAGGCAGGCATTTGTAGCTTGTCTATTTTGGATAAGGGTCTGAACAGAGAAGACGGGGGCAAGGTTAGTATATGACTGCAGTCGGCTATGCAAAGTACAGAGTGGAATTTAATTTTTATGGTTTGTTTAATAAAAAAGCTTTTCCCCAAAAAAAAAGTTTAATAAAAAAGCAGCTGTTAAGTTGCTAAAAGAGGAAATAAATGCACATGCCATGTTAGAACTATGAACTGTCAGCTCTTCATAGAGAACTTTATTTTCAAAAAAAAAAAAAAAAAAAAAAAAAAAAAAAAAAAAGAAACACAGCTTACCTTGGCCTGTGTATTGTAAGCTTAGGTTTACAACTAAGAGGTCTTGGGTTCGAGTTTTTGTGTATGCATTGTGTGTGTGAGTTTGCTTAAATGGCCTATATGTCCCAGAAAAAATTTCCCAAAAAGCTTTATTTTCAATCAAAATTATTTATCTGATATATCTCATATTGATCCGTTGATTGAGAGATTTGGCTATCAAACAAGAGGTTTTAAGTTCAAAATTTGTGTATGTGGTTTGTGTGTGAGGTCATCTTCAATTGCCTACAAAATTATCAAAAAAATTTATTTGTTAGACAAAACAACATATATAGATGCCTTTGATTTGAAATTATAATGACTCCAGCACTGCAAAAAAAGTTGGTTGGAGCGATGAACTAAAGGGACCATTGGTGAACCAACATGCTCATTAAGTAGTACCAAAACACCACCAGTCCAACACTGCAGAGCTAGCTAAGGAAAAATCAAATATTATAAATAGTCGTCTTATTCTTTATATAGGAAGGTTGATAAGCTGGAGGAGTTAGTTTGTAGTTTTGTCTTGTGAGTGTGTTTGAGTGTGTTTGAGGTGTAGTGGGGAGTGAGAAGCTTATATTTATTATACCAAAGTCTTATATTGGAGTGGAGAAAAGCAAGGGGGTAATCCACGAGTGTTAAATTACTTCTAGGTTATTTCTGAACTTTACTTTTTTATGTTTTAATTTGTATCTTGTGTTTGTACTTGTGAAACAGTTATTTTAATGTAATATTGGTTGTGTTTATTGTGTTGATTACTTGTTCCAAAGCTTCCATATATAGCTATTATAGTTTTCTAAATTTGTAATAAATTAAAAAGCTAGTATTGCTTAGAGTAGGATTTGATGTTTATTATAGCCATACTCTTTTTAACTTCCCACACCTCAATTAATTTTTGTATAATCCATGCATAAATTAAAATATAGTGTGATATAAAACCTTGATGGAGGAATAGAAGAATCACTAGGGAATTTAAAATTTAGTCTAACTAAAACAAAGGTGTATTATCACAATGTTCTAAAATCTAAATCGGAAGAATTGCATCTCTATATCATTTCAATCAAAGAAAAGAGCTGATAAATTGAATTTTAAAAATATAGATAGTAAAAAAATATAATTACATTTCTATATTTAATATTTAAACATTGCATAGGGTCCAAAATGACATATACAATAGACATGCATGATATGCAACCAACAACAATCCATAATTGTAAATCATACATAATGACTACAGAAGAACAACAGACTAATATATGTAGAAGGAAACTCAGGCTTACAGCTCAAATCAACCAGAATCTAGAAGATACTTATTCTTGCCTAAAAACTTGTAAAAATCACATAATGAGCACATAGCCTAACAAATAACCAATATTTACCAATGAAGTCAATGCATCAATAAAATATTAATCATATAACTGTAAGAATATGTAACATTAAATAGGATTAATAGCATGTATATTATGTAATTTAGATATAATCTTATCATAAACATATCAATCATATCCTTATCACATATCATATGTTCATATTAGCACCCTATTATTTTAGCTACATGTCAATCATGTCAATCAATCATTCAATCGATCAATCTTAGCATCGATCAATTAATCACCATACATGATATTTCACATAGCATCAGTTTATTTATCTTATATGTTATTTATCATATCTATCCTCTATATGATCTATCATCTATCATATCCAACACATTTGCCATTTCTATATCTATCATTATCAAAGCTCAAAATCATCAAAAATAAAAGTATAGTAGAGGTCACTTATAATGATCAAAACACTTTTCATAATAGAAGGGATGGAGAAATAAGTCCCAAAGAGCTCTCTCTCTCTCTCTCTCTCTCTCTCTCTCTCTCTCTCTCTCTCTCTCTCTCTCTCTCTCTCCTTTCTTTCCTTTCCTGGTAAGCAATGAAATAAGGAGGGAATGGGCTGGTGGTGAGGGATGTTTAAAATAAAGTATTTTAAAAGTTGATTCAATGCCCATGCCCAACGCCATATCTCCCAACTTCTTAGCTCCATTGTCCTACATGCTGATCCTAGAGTTATTGCAGAACAAAGGCTGCAATACCTTAGTTGTGGTTCCTTAGCTCCATAAAACTTCTACACTATTGTGTTTGCTAGCATAATGCTATAGCATTACAATGCAGATTCTCATACTTTTTATGTAAATTTATTTTAAAAACTTTTTTTTATCACAATCCGCCCTCATAAAACTATCGTACTTAACATTTCAACAACAAAATAGAATTAATCACCGGTAACCTCAATCATTAATCAAATTACTTATTAATTCACTAACATGTATGCATACCAGTTAAACAGTCAGTCATTTAATGCAATACATTTCAACAAAATAATAAACTTACACAATAATGTTTTGAATGGAAAATCTTACCAAAAGAACTATCAAGCACTTCTAATCTCTATTATACATGAGTTTTGGTACCAGTCTAAATAAACTCTTGGACATACACAGGTAGTGCATAATGCATAATCTTATGCCCATAGCTACCACACTTGAAGCATTGTCATGTGCTCTATAACATTTTCCTATATACCTTCTTACACACAAAACACATTGCAGAGTACTTTTAGCATGTGATTTCATAATCTTTATCCTAATCCCTTCACCTATTTTCTTAACTAGTGGAGGTTTTTGCAAAGTGTAATCACATCAAAAACTTTATTACACCCTCAAGTGTAATTAAAGCTGCTCCTTAATCTTATTCAGTCAAAATTTCCTTTCCTTTTGGATTTATCTTCTTATACTTCATCATTTCAATAGATCTTTTAACCAAATGCATAGGTAGTGCATATTTAGTTCTCTATGCCATATATATTCATGTATGCTACTCATGTTTATGAATGCAACTCTATACTCTTATATACTATCCCATTAAAAATTAATTTGGAAGCTCTGGTTATAATTCAATTCATCAAATAACACTTACTCCGATTCCATTTTTGTCATAATGTTCTATAATATAAATTGGAAGAAATAAACATCTCTGTATAAATTCAATTAATGACTAGAGCTAGTAAATTACATTAAAAAATATAAAATATAATTAAATTTCTATAGTTTATATATATATATATATATATAATAGCCAAGATGTGTATATATAAATATCATATTTATCATGAATAGTCATATCATTTTCTTTATACAAGTCAATATTATATATGAAATATAATAATCTATGAAATGCAAGACAATCTATATCTTATTCGGGGGGTGAGGATGGGGGTGGGGTTGGAATGATGGTGAGATAAATAAAACAAAATAATTTAAAAGGTTGATTTAGTGCCTAGCAGTGCGGTGCCCAAATTCTCAACATCATTATGCTGCTTGTCGATCCAAGAGTTACTATAGAATAGAGACTATGATGCCATAGTGGTGGTTCTCCAACTCTACAATGATTCTGTATTGTTACGCTTACCAGCACAACACAACAATGCTGCAACCTAGATTTTTAAATTTCTCATGTAAATTTATTTTAAAAATATTGGGTTATTACACATTAGGATTATGCGGTCTTAAGGAGATAGTTTAACTATATTTTGTGAGCATCTTATCTTGCACTCCGATAATCGACAGATATGAGGAGCACAATTGGTCTGATCCCTAACAACCATAATAATAACCCTCTCTCACGAAATTATGTTCTTTTGAGGAATCATAGTTTCAAATTTTAAACATCAAGATAAATATACCAAACTCAAAATCATAAAAAATGGAAGTAAAGTAGAGGTCACTTATAATGTCAAAACATTTTTTTTAACTGTAACAACAGATACTAAAGCCCTAAAGAGGTTTCTCTCTCATCCTCTCTCTTCATTCTCTTCTTCTTCTTCTATATTTGCTTCCATGAAAAGTAATGAAATGAGGAGGGCTTGGAATGGTGCTGAGAGAAAATTAATATAATATATTTTGAAAGTTGATTTAGTTCCTAGCACTGCCAACATCATTATGCTGCTTATCAATCCTAGATTTACTATAGAATAGAGACTATGATGCCGCAGTGGTGGTTCCCTGGTGTTGCAATGTTCTTGTGTTGTTACGATTGTTAGCACAACACTAAAGTGCTGCAACCCATATTTTTATATTTCTCATGTAAATTCATTTTAAAAATTTTGGGTTATTACACATATGGTGGCTAGGATTATGGGGTCTTAAGGAGATTGTTTAATTGTATTTATTGAGGATCCTATCTTATACTCTAATGAGCTCGACAGAGATGAGGAACATAATTTGTCTGATCCACAAAACCCATGGGAATAATCCTTTCTAATGAAATCATTTTCTTTTTGAGGATTTATAGTTTCAAATTTTAAACATTCAAAAACTTTTATTTTTTACAATTTGAACTTTTTACTTTTAATCTACAAACCTAATTTTTATTAGCACACTAGATAAATATATCAGTCCAGTAAGTAGTAGTAATATGAACTTATAATACTCCTAATTGTTCCTCTTGGGATCCACACTCTATTCATCATTTTATTACTTAATATGATAACATGCATTTCTAATTTCATTACCCAAATTATGTAAACAAGTAAAGAATTTCTAAAGTGAGTATATATGTTAGCTATGGATTCACCATGTTGCATGCTAAAAAGTTTGTAATCATGAAGTAAAATATTTAAAATTGATTGCTTGACTTGATTTATACCCTCATATGTAATACACAACCTATCCCAAATTTCTTTTAAGCTATGCAAGTAGACACTTTCTTATAATCGTTTTATTTAAGTCCATAGAATAAACTATTCAATTATTTAGCAATTATTGTATAAGTTCTCTATCTTAAATGCTCCATATAGTAAAAAAATGTTTCAATTTTCTTACAATTTACAAATTTATGTTGTAGTAAATATC